CCAACTGGTACACAGCAACGCACTGATGTCCTACGTGAAAAAAAGTTTGGTCAGGGGTTTGCTGAGAGTATGATAAAAAAGTAAGCAATCTAACAATCTGCTCAAACGCACTATATAATATGACACTATATATTTACCTCATTGTGGAAACTCGTCTACTCGTGTCGGTTCGGTATGGGTCCTTGGGGTCATTGACGATGACTCAAAACATTTGTTTTAAGTTGCAGTTTTCAGACGATCACTTCAAGCTGTTAACACTGCCATTTATTATTTATTTCTGAACAAAATCTCTGTCAACAGTTAAGACGTAATTGCTGTAATGCTTCGAATGAAACGTTCAACGTCGAGACCTTCATGATCAGCTGTTCAGTAGAGTAGAGAAGTGTCGCAGTCAGTGTGATGGGTAACGGTCATAATTCTTCTATCGTACGAAATTACCTATTCCGTTCAAGTGATGATAAACTCTGATTATCGTTTGTTCTATTCAACATGTAGATAAACGAGCAATAACAACGGAAAGCACATATTCTTTCACTTTCAGACTTCATCCTCAGCAGCTGTCATATCGCTGTCATCAGCTGCGATGGTAACTTCAGGTGTAAACGACGTTCGTTCTTATTTACGCGAGTTCAATATTACATTAAAAACCGTTATTTAAATATAAAAATATGCTTGAACTGGATTCTTTTCATTTTTCTTTGACGTTCTTAGTTACTGTTAATGATTGTTAATGACACTTTCTAAATCGAAGCGTGGTGTCGTTATGTTACCGTAAATCATTCTGAAATTTAGCCAACATGCGCAGCTTCCTGCTCAGTGGTGATAAATTTGAGAAGAGTGGACCCGCCTTAAACTAGTTTCTTCAATGTTTTATCAACAAGGTCGCTCAAGCCGGATGAAGCGGGCAAAGGAAATTTTTCCTGTGAATTACGTTGCGCTGTTACGTCATATTTTTACACTAAATTTATATAAAAACGAAAAAAAAATCGTATTGAAATTCTTTCAGTGTACATTCATAGGCAATAGGTGTATTCTTTTCTTAATCACTGATCTAAAGGGGTGATTACAAAGGGTGGAGCCGCCTTAAAACTGTTTTTCGGTAGGACCGGTTTAAAATTAATTTTGAAAAATGGGAAAATATAGAATTGGACACTTAAAAAATGGATTTTAGTTCAATCCTAATACCCTTATTTAAGGAAAACAAAATCAATAATTATACGATTTTTTTCTGGCAGTAGGCGACTGTCTTAGATAAATGTCCAGACACATATATAGCTGCTTTTACGCTGGTACGTAGGCGAATCCATCAAATTTTCAAACAGAAAAACGAAACAAAACAAAAACACTGTCTGCAGTATCCACCAAAGCCCTGCCCTGGACCCGCTTTTAAATGAATCCACTCCGAACAAAGGCTAGCTAAGCCCCGAGTACCCTTACCTTTATCGAAATTTACAGAAACCAAACGATTACTTCATTAAGCAAAAGTCTGCGATAGAAGCTCCGTGGGCCTTTTACTAGTTTTTTATTCACATTTTTCAGATATGGTGATTTAATCAAGGTGGAGCTGACAATTTTCAAGCAGTCTTTGTGCAATAGCCTGGTACCACGATGAACAAACGTATCACAATGGTAAGGAAGAATATCCGCCGGAAACACGTGATCGGAGTGCTCGGACTGGTGTTTATCATCTATATTTCGATGTCTGCATATACATATGAAAAGTTTTGCCGAGCAAAAAGTTGTGAAGAAAACATCATTAAATTGTCCCATTCTAACTTTGTGAATAAAAGTACTAAGACAGTTTTGGTTTGGACGAAGTATTTCTTTGGGGATTGGGCGGAACACGTTTCCGGAAATATGAGTAGAAGTAAGCACAACTGTTCTGTGACGTCAGACCGGCGTGAACTGGGGTCCGCTGACGCAGTACTCTTCCATTTGATTGATCTTTGGTTCTGGGAGACAGTACCCGGATTTAGAAGACCGGATCAGGTCTGGGTATTGTATAACATGGAAGCGCCGCCACATCATCATTTCACTGGAAAGCCATGGATACAAGCATTTAATTGGACGATGACGTATCGAACTGACTCAACCATTCCTAGTCCTTACGGTGAATTCGTTCCTTTGACAAGTGAGGAAAAGGAAACAGCTACATTATTGTATATGAACAGGAACTTTGCTGTGAATAAGACCAAGATTGCTGTCGCAGTTGTAAGCAACTGTCAGGATGACGTTCAAAGATATCGATATATACGTCAGTTAGAAAAATACGTGGATATCGATTATTTTGGAAAGTGTGGACACTTGTCATGCCCAAGAACTTCTAACGCCGAATGTGATGAAAAGAAGTACAGATTCCGTATTGCGTTTGAGAATGCCAATTGTAAAGATTACGTAACAGAAAAGTTCTGGAAGAGTTTGAATCAGGAGAGTGTTCCAATTGTGAACTGGGGAAGTCATCAAGTCATAAATGCTCCGAAAAATTCTTACATAAATATACATGACTTTAAAAGTGCAAAAGAATTGGGTACCTACCTGAATATGTTAAGTACCAATGACAAATTATATAACAAATACTTTGCTTGGAAGACTCAATATAAGCCGGAACATGAAGAAATGTATGCATTTAAATATTTGTGTGACGCTCTCCACACACCCAGGCTGGCTCAGACAATCGTAGATCCGAACAAGTGGTTGAGAACAGACTCCTGTAGAACATGGTCAGTAAGTATAATTAAATCGCCAAACCTCGGGTGAACCCGCTTCGCTCCTTGATGCTTGAAGAACGAGCCGCTGGAGGAGTCCTGAGTTAAGAAAATGTATAAATATTTGCTTTTTAACGTATTCCAGGACCACGTCACACAGTGAGTGATGACGTCACATGGTTCGGTACCTTCCATGCTTTTTAACTTACACAAGTCCGATATTTTAGAAGTTGAAATAACAAGTCAAATTTTACTGAAAGTAAATATATGGATTGAATCTTTTTCTGTTGAGGTTTATAGGGTATAAACCCTCAATAAGTCTTGATACAAATTTGACATGCATTGATCGTTATCTATACAGACTTATTGAGCATATACATTGACCTTTGTGTAATGTTATTGTTTTTGTTATTGAACCGTATTTCATATATTGTATATTCCAGATACGTGAAGTTCTACGGAGACACTTGGATAGATTCATGTTTGATTTTGGCTGGTAAAAATCCTGGAGCGATGAGAACCATTCATATTATCGTACTTTTCATATATCAGAAATTCAGAGCCGTGTGTTGGAACTTTCTAGATAGCAATGTGTCAGAACAATCTAGCTTTCTAGATATCTGTCTGTCTGAACTATCGAAATATCAGTGATTCTGACCCGTGTGTTGAACCTTTCCAGATATCCATGTGTCAAATCTTTCTATATATATATTGTCGGACTGTTTCTAGATATCCATTTATAGAAACTTTCTAGATATCCACGTGTCAGAATTTTCTAGAAACATGTCTCTGTCTGTCTGAACTATCCAAATATCAGTGATTCTGAGCCGTGCGTTGAACCTCTCCAGATATCCATGTGTCAGAATTTTCAATATGTCCATGTGTCATATCTTTCTATATATATTGTCGGACTTTTTCTAGATATCCATTTGTGGAAACTTTCTAGATATCCACGCGTCAGAATTTTCTAGAAACATGTCTCTGTCTGCCTGAACTATCCAAATATCAGTAATTCTGAGCCATGTGTTGGAACTTTCCAGATAGCCGTGTGTCAGAACGTTCTAGATATCTGTGAGTCTGAACGTTCTAGATATCTATCCGTCTGAACTCTCGAAAAATATCAGTGATTCCTTTTTTGGAACTTTCCAGATATCTGTCTGTATGAACTCTCCACATATCGGTGATTCTGAGCCGTGTGTTGGAACTTTCCAGATATCTGTCTGTATGAACTCTCCACATATCGGTGATTCTGAGCCGTGTGTTGGAACTTTCCAGATATCTGTCTGTATGAACTCTCCACATATCAGTGATTCTGAGCCGTGTGTTGGAACTTTCCAGATATCAGTGATTCTGAGCCGTGTGTTGGAACTTTCCAGACATCTGTCTGTATGAACTCTCCACATATCAGTGATTCTGAGCCGTGTGTTGGAACTTTCCAGACATCAGTGATTCTGAGCCGTGTGTTGGAACTTTCCAGATATCTGTCTGTATGAACTCTCCACATATCAGTGATTCTGAGCCGTGTGTTGGAACTTTCCAGACATCAGTGATTCTGAGCCGTGTGTTGGAACTTTCCAGATATCTGTCTGTATGAACTCTCCACATATCAGTGATTCTGAGCCGTGTGTTGGAACTTTCCAGACATCAGTGATTCTGAGCCGTGTGTTGGAACTTTCCAGATATCTGTGATTCTGAGCCGTGTGTTGGAACTTTCCAGATATCTGTCTGTATGAACTCTCCACATATCAGTGATTCTGAGCCGTGTGTTGGAACTTTCCAGACATCAGTGATTCTGAGCCGTGTGTTGGAACTTTCCAGATATCTGTGATTCTGAGCCGTGTGTTGGAACTTTCCAGATATCTGTCTGTATGAACTCTCCACATATCAGTGATTCTGAGCCGTGTGTTGGAACTTTCCAGACATCAGTGATTCTGAGCCGTGTGTTGGAACTTTCTAGATATCTGGGAGTCTGAACTTTCAAGATATCTATCAGTCTTAACTCTTCTAGATATCCATATGTCGACACTTTCTAGATATCCGTGTGTCGGAACTTTCTAGAAACATGTACATGTATCTGTCTGTCGGAACTATCCAAATATCAGTGATTCTGAGCCGTGTGTTGGAACTTACCAGATAGCCAAGTGTCAGAACTTTCAATATATCCATGTGTCATATCTTTCTAGATATATATGTGTCGGAATTTTCTAAATATCCATTTGTCGAAACTTTCTAGATAAACTTTCTACATATCTATGCGTCAGAACTTTCTAGATATCTACAGTGTATATGTCTAAACTTTCTAGATATTCGTGTGTCGGAACTTTCAAGATGTCGATATCTCGATTTTTTTAGATATCAATGTGTCAGAAATTTCTAGATATATATGTGTCGGAATTTTTCATATCTCTACAGTGTATATGTCGAAACTTTCTAGATATTCGTGTGTCGGAAGTTTCAAGATATCAGAACTTTCCGCGTTAGATGTTTATGTGTCGGAACTTTCCGCGTTACATATTTATGTGTCAGAACTTTCCGCGTTAGATATTTATGTGTCAGAACTTTCCGTTAGATATTTATGTGTCAGAACTTTCCGCTAGATATATATGTGTCAGAACTTTCCGCTAGATATATATGTGTCGGAACTTTCCGCGTTAGATATTTATGTGTCAGAACTTTCCGCTAGATATTTATGTGTCAGAACTTTCCGCTAGATATTTATGTGTCAGAACTTTCCGCTAGATATATATGTGTCGGAACTTTCCGCTAGATATTTATGTGTCAGAACTTTCCGCTAGATATTTATGTGTCAGAACTTTCCGCTAGATATTTATGTGTCAGAACTTTCCGCTAGATAT